ACAGGAAAAACATTAAAGTTTTGGAGAGGACAAAGATTTCCCCTTTGAAGTCTGGATAGGAGAATATCCCTTGTCCCTCATACACCTGTCCACCACCATTATTAGAGTGATTTTCTTTTCTTACGTTTCAGACATTACTTGCCTGCTAATGGCCTTTCAGGAGAAGGTGGACGTGGTCATCTCAGAAGCCTAATTTAAGGCTCCCCCTTACTCTGGAGTAAGAGTTGTCTTAGAACCATTACTTCTTGATTATAGGGAGGGGGGAGTGGTTTATGTATCACCTTAAAATATCATCCTTATTCTTTAGCCGTTAGGCAATTATGAACAGAAAGAGGTCTGCATGCACCAGAATAGGGACTGGGCCAGAAAGGGACAAAAGTTTACAATGTTCTGGGAGGTGAAGTGCCAAGGACCAGCTGGCATCAGCAGCCCATCTACAGAGTGTGGCTTGTGCCCATCGTCCACCTAGAAGTTATACAGCCCACATGCTGTGCCCTGCTCTGAGAGAGTACCTTGGCCAAGTCACACTGGACGTGAGGTCCAGGAGCAGATGGCTCTTGGGCTGAAACAAGGCCAGAGGAAGGCTTCCGTCAGGGCTTGCTTGGCAGGGTTCCTGTGCTAGTCAGGGGGTGGCTTACTGGGTGGCACTACAGCACGGCACCATTGCCTTGTTGCAAGTCACTCCGATGGCACATGTCTGAGACCGAGTCTTACTGCAGACTAGCCACATGTCTTTGCATGGCAGCTGCCTCTGCAACTGGGGACATAATGACCACTCCTCCTCCTCCTCCTCCACCTGAGAGCACTCTGAGCCCATCCTGTTAGCCACAGAGGAAGGCAGACAAGGTCTTTCCTCCATGCCAGGGGACGTGCTGCCCCTAAAAACCATTGGGACATGTCACACGTTTGCTTTCATGGCAAGACCTGTCACTGTGACACCTGGAGAGAAGCTTGCCTGTGAAGCTGCCACAGATCATTCCGTTTTTGGGACATGGACATTCTTCCATGTGGTGAGAAGGTGCCCAAACCAAGACTCTGGCCACTGACTGAGAGCCCCTCTGTTGCCCACTTCCTTTCAGCTAAAGCAAATTAGAGGCAATTGTAGCTTTGACAACATACCTACAAGGGTGTGTTTTTCAAAAGTGCAGCTGTTTGATGTACTAAAACTCATGCTGCTCAGTGACATCTTCACCTTGGCAACTTTTTATCTTTCATAATGTTCTTGAATAAATATACATCTTGTTTACATGAAAATGAAGAGTTACACCACTATTAAAAATCTCCCAAGAAAAGCCAGAGGACAAACCCCTCTCCTCCCCCCTCTGTTGCCTTCAAAAGCTCCAACCTTAGACTGAGTTAGATTATGTTGGCCTTTTCCAGCTGCATATGGTCTACCCAGATGGCCAGTGGTTCTGGTGGGGCTTGAGACCCAGAGAAAGAAAGGTCTTTCCCTTCTCAAGATGCTGCCAGAGACTGGTTCTGGGGCCTTCTGCACAAAAACACAGGCTCTGCCACCAAACTGCTCCCCGCCCTCTAATCCCTTCACTGCCCCACTGAGGGAGACTCAGATGCCCTCTGTGTCCCTTCAGGACCAGCCCCACCTCATTAGCCATGGTGACTCTTTGTGAGTCTTGGTGCCAAAGATCTGAGGCTGTGTTTGAATCCTGATATCAATATACAGTAGTCTCTCTCAGAACTACCTCTGCACCTGACCCAACCACTTCCTCTTCCCTTCAGACCCCAAATCAACTCCATGTTCGTTGACATGCCAGTTACGTCAGGATGCCATAAACCAGAGGCTTCATGTCTACATATCCTGACAAACCTATGCCAGCCTTAACATCTCACACTTCCTTTGCCAGACTTCTTAAAGACTTTGCAGGCCTGCCAATGTGTCCTGCTGTCCACCTGCAACAGAGGAAATGGGGAGCCAGAAGCAGTTCTCTGCTTAGATGCAAGGATGTGTCATGCATATCATACACATCTTGCCTTGCCATGAAGACCTTACTCACCCCTGCCTCTTCCATGTATCTAGAAGATTTCCTCTGCAACTAATATTTGGGATTTCAGGTGCAGCTCTGCCTCTAAAAGCACACCAAGTTGCCCTTTTCTTTTCCTACCACCAAGCATTTCATTCACACATTCATTTGCTTTCTTTCTCCCCCGCTCCCTGAGGAAGAAGTAGCATGAACAGAGATGGAAGGATTGAGAGGATGGTGTTCCCAGTTCATAAAATTCCCTGAGTGGTGGCTCTGTTTTGTGCCAGCAGAAGAAAATGAAGCACACATGATAATTTGCATTGTCCTGAGATTTCAGACATTCCTTTATCCTTTCCCTCCATGTCTCAGAAAAAGGGATACTGGTAACTGAAAGCCTAAACCTAAGGCCTCACACTCATCTAGGAGGTTCAAACTACAGGGCCAGGCAAATTTCATTTAGCGGCAAAAACCCAGCCCAGGATTCAAACCAAGAGCATTTCTATCTGAGGTGCTTCAGCAGCAGACCAAGAAGCCTACCTTCTGCACCACAAACCTCCAGATCCTATCAGACAACCTCCTTCCTCCTTGGCTGTTGCTGCGTCAGCATCAGAGAAGCAGCTCATGTGGGAGCTTGTGTGGATTAAGGAGGCCATGCAGAAGAAGGCAAGGAGGCAAAGGAAACCAACCTCTAAAATGTCTCTAAGAACGCAGAGCCCATCCTCTGGCAAGGCCAAAGAGTCCAGAGGACAGAGAATCGAGGCCCAAAGATGGAATGCCAGTTCAGGCAGGTACCCGTGAAACAAAGACCCCTTGGTGGCTTCCAAATGGCCAGGATGGCAGCTGAGCAAATCCTTGACTTGGAATAAGAGAAATGGAGGCGGGTTTGGCAGCTGTGGCAGCTGAAAGAAAGACTTCTCTGCATGGCAGCCTATTCAGATAAAGTGGGAGGTGGAATGGGCAGCCCTGACTGTGGAGTGGCTGATGGGCTTTCCTTACTGGATCACTGACCTCCTTTCCTTGTTTTAAACTGAGATGGGATGGTGTCAGTGAAATTCGCACAACTGATTGGGAGCAATCAGATCTGGAGAGTGTCTGACTGCACAGTCAAAGGTGTGCCTGTGTTAAGAGAGAAGACAGCTAGAAGACAAGATGTCTTGGCACTAGTTTCAGTTGTACACTTTTTGAAGATACTTTAGCAGGAGGAAGGTGACATAGTTTGATATATTTTGATCACCACTTTTGCTTGGCTTGACCTATGTAGTAACATGTGTTTAGGCTACAACTAAAGCTCAGATGCAAATCACGGAAAGTAACTGAAGCTCCATGGATCAATGTGTTGCCCTGCTTCTGAAGGATAAATGTTCCTTTTCCCCTGTCATCCCAGGTAATCTGACCAGCAGACCATATTGTGTCCTGGGACAAGAAGGCCATCTGTTCACAGGTAGATGCAGAGAGATGTAAAACTGTCCCCCCCTCACCACTAGGGAGGCTGGAAAAGTGGATATTAAGATGAGAGGGAAGGAGCTTTCGGAAGAGAACAGAACAGAACCCATCATAGCAGCTGGAGGGAAATGCAATCAGAAGTAAGAATATTGTCGCTGACAGGCATGTAGCACTTGCTTCTGTGAGCTACTGAGGCTGGCCCTAGGGACATTTTGAGATGTTCTCAGTTCTTGCCTCTTGGCACCAAGGAGGCCAGTTGAGAGGCAAAGGGAGATGGCAGAAGATGATGGAAGGGCAAATCTGGATCAAGGCAAAGAGTAGTAAATGAATGCTAGGCCAAAGCAGCAGCAGCAGCCCTTTCTGGCATCCACAGAAGGGTGCCCTTGGGCCACGCCTTGTGTATATCTGGGCTTATGTGTCACAAGGCATTGGCTGGCAAGACGAAACATTCTAGGCCAGCATTTCCAAAGCTAAAAATGGCACCTCTATGACCATGAGCTCCTGCAAGCGCTGCAAAGTCCAGAACAGACTCTCTAGCCTTTTGGCTGACTTGGGAGGCTTCCAAAATGCTTACAGGATGCCAGGACATACACAAGCATTTCAAGGTGAGGTGGACACACCAGGGAAATTATCTTTAGATGAAGTGCGACGTCAGTGGCCATGTCATGGGGCAGGTACTAGCACCCTCCTCCCTCTCTGCTGCAGAACTGTGTCTGGAGGAGTTGGGCTCTTGGATCATCCCTCACTTTCACTGGCACACACAGCCTGGCTTGGGCACTCAGCAAGAGGTGGTGGCAAATCCAGCTGCCACACCAAATCTGAGCTGTAAGCCCATCCTCCTTCCATAGCCCAATGCACCTGCCATCTAGTGGCCATCCTCATTGGGATCTGCTGCCTGACGCTAAAGGAGGCTGAGATGTGCCCCTGCATTCGTAAAGATCACCACAATACATGTACAGGATTCTCCACAGCCTGTCTCCCCATTACCATTTACACCATACAGCTTTCGTCTTTCCATAAAAGACTTTAGCAATCCCACCCCCACCCACCCAGAAAATACGGTTGCAACCATGTGTACACACATTCCCATAGGTAATCTTAAATAGCTCCTAAGCTTTGGAAAAGGCAATTTGGAAACATGCCTTTGACTTGAATCTGGGGATTTCCTCCCAGCTCTTCCCACTCCACAGCAGTTCCTCATTTCTACCGAGATGGTTGCAAAATTAATATTTCATTATTTTTAGATAGACTTTGTATATTCTTTCACAGCAGAAAGAGATTAAAGAAAGGAAATTCATGCACTATGAGAATGCAGTTATCATCTGAAAGAATAAATGGGAGATTGATGACAAAGGGATAAAATGACCCCATGTGAGGGATCTGTGAGACAATAAAGAAGATGCTTGTGTATCTCCCAGCACATTCCAAAGTTAGGTTGTACAACTCCATTCTGTTTACTAAGCTGACTGTAAGTTTGTTATTTAAAGAAAAAAGGGCTTTCTTACAAAGTGGTAAAGTATTCCAAGCAAGAAAATATTAGAAAGAAAGAAAGAAAGAAAGAAAGAAAGAAAGAAAGAAAGAAAGAAAGAAAGAAAGAAAGAGAGAGAGAGAGAGAGAGAGAAAGAAAGCACTATGATGCCCCTACTGGTCCCTGAAAGCCAGCCCCTCCACCCTCCATAAACCCAAGTTACCGCCACACAGCCTCTGTGTGTACATAATGTGCTGAAGAGAGGGAATACATAGAGGACAAATGTAAACCAAAGGTGGGGGTGGGTGGGGTGAGACTTGAGCATTTGTCATAATTAAGAGAAAAACCCAAACCCCAACGACTGCAGCACTCCTGTGTTGTTGTCATAGTTTGAGTGTCTTTCCCCAATTCTTCTGTGGCCGTCAGGCATCAATTTACATAGTACAACCAGTAAACCAGATTGAAGAATCCAAAAGTGATGGGGAAGATGATCCGGGACCATTTGTCAATGGTGCTGACATCGGCCAGGTCCGGGATTTTGAGCTTCAGCTTCGAAGACCGCCGGCGGAGTCGGCAGTTAGCACGGTTGCGGACGGCAGAGTGATGGGCCAGGGGAACGTGGCGGTCTAAGGTGGGGTGGTGTCCAAAACCATCTCGGGAGGTTAGTGGTTTGCGGAACTGGATGCCTGAGCCTTCAAAGGACATGACAGAGTTTCGAGAGTCTCCCACTGTGCTCATCATGTCTGTTGCCAACAGCTCGTTGTTCATCTCCAGTGTACTGAGAAGGATGTTACCATATGGGTCCACCTGGGGCGGGGGGGAAGACATGGCACGGCATGAACATTCATTCCACACGTCCAGTGAAGAGGATCTCAATAGATATGGCCCTTGGCCCCGTTCTATTTTTGTGCAAAAATAAGCCTGTGTAGGTTTTATCAGGTCATGGGCTTGGCCTAATGGGACATAGAGGCTTCAATCTGGAAGTCTAGAGGGGAGGAAGGAGGTGCCAAACTTTGCCAGCTTCCAGTGGAGGAGACAGACTACTTGCATGCAGACAGCATGCAAGCACTGCTCTCCAGGGGAATCACAATTCTTGTCGGCTGCCCGCACTTCAGGGGTTCCAGCGTGTTTCTTTGATATGTACTGGATGTGTGTCACCCTTCACTCCAACCACCCAGTAGACCTGATACAATTGTGTTGGCAGTGTTACCCTGCCCACTTCCTTGAACCCTCAGTAGTCAACCTCCTCCTCTCTCCCACCATATTGAAGGGATGCTGCTTCTCACTACCATTTTAGTATTTATGTGTTTGTATTTTTGTTTCCTATTTCTCTTCTCCATCCCAAAGAATTGTCACCTCACAGGGCAAATAGATTGGCCTACAAAGTCTCCCTTTTACCAGTCCTTTCAAAAACTCCATTCTTGGCTTCCTTAAGTCAGTTTCAAGTTTTTAGATGACTTGTATAACTGAAGCAGGAACCTTCCTGCTCACTCTGTCTACTCAGATCAAAACCAATCATGATGTAGTTCTTCTGGTCCATTTCAATGTTAGAAAAGGACAGATGTTTGAAACATTTTCAAACCCCCACTCCCCACCCATCCACTGGGATGGATTCAGGCCAAAAAGGGCACCAGCAGGAATGCATCCGGGCCTCCCCAATTGCTCCCCAGCTCACCATGATAGCTCTTGAAGTTGGTTTTAATTATTTATTTTATACCACACTGGAAAATCAGCTCATGCATTTGGATGTCCCTGCGATTTTGCAGGATAAAGGGTAACAAACCTGCTCTCTCACCCTTTTTTCCTCATACCGGTGCCTTTCGTTATTTGCCCTGTTGATACGTTCACTTTGTTTCTTCTGCTGACGGGGGCCTCGGCCGAAAAAAATGTAGTTGACAAATGCATACTCCAGGAGTGCCAGGAACACAAAGACAAAGCAGCCCATGAGATAGACATCGATGGCTTTGACGTAGGGGATCTTGGGGAGGGTCTCCCGCAGGTGGGTGTTGATCGTGGTCATGGTGAGCACAGTAGTGACCCCTGCACAGTACAGAAGGCATACACAGCTGTCAAAGGCTTGCTCCATGGAGCTGGCTGCCAGGAAAAGAATGCCCATGGCCCTCTGGGCTGCCCTGCCATCTGCCTCTTTCCTAGAGGCTGGAGAGCATGGAGGAGCGTTCTGCTCTATCTGTAGCTGAGCCGAGGCAATGTTGGCCTGACTTCAGACAGCAGCTTCACATTGTCCATGTTTCTGACGCCCCATTGTTCAGACTCATTTTAAAAGACTTTTTGCCCGGCATCCTCAAAAATACTGAGGTACAGAGCATCATCCCTTGTGTTAAATGGCCACAGTTCACACAATGATACAAAACAAATCAGAGCTGTGCTATCCACCTGCAGAGCCAGAGGTTGGGAGTTTGATTCCCCCACTGGGCCTCCTTGAAAGCGGCTGGACTGGATGAGCCAAAGGGTCCTGTACAGCTCCACAGCTCTAAGATTATTATAATATTATTTTTCTAACCTATTCACCTCTTTTCCATAAGAACCATTTCTTATCTTATCCTGGTTCTTTTAACTTCCCTCAAAAGGTCTACAGATGTTCGAGACTATGCACAGAATCCACTGTAATTTCAGAGGTAATCAAGTTCCAAACATTCAAATTTACTCTATTTTTATAAAACCTCACAAAGACCTCACAGCTCCTTCAGCTTTAGATGAAATTCAAGGACCTCTCACTTCTGTGGTAGCTGGTTGACTGGAGACCTACCTAGAGCAACACGGGCTGCAGAAGCATCATAATTGATCCAAAAAGAGACCCAGGAGAGGATAGTGATGAGGATAGAAGGCATATATGTCTGCAGGATGAAGTAACCAATGTTTCTTTTGATCCGGAAACTGAGGGACAGTCGAAGGTAGGATCCTGTCAGTTAGATAATAAAACAATAAGATGTCAAGGTAAAAGGTGAATGCTGGAGTATTCTCTTTAAAAGCCTCCAAAAATCTCAGTTTTGGCCACGGCTGTTAGCTCAGCATGCACAAAATCAAGACCAGACATGTTAGGGAATGCCTGCGGCTTGGCTGAATCCCTTGGAGTCTCTCCTTCAAGGTACACATCCACTTGAGGTGTGTGGCTTGGACTGAGGCAAATGCTAGAAGGATATTCCCTTTTCCCCATCAGATCTGGAATCACTCACGCAAAGCTTTCATAGGGTTTTTTAAAAAAAGTTTTGGAACACAATCCAGATTTTCCTAGTTTGAATTTCTACACCCTAGGAACCCCCCTCACTCCCTCCCCCCTCCATTCTCCTCCTCTCATTCCGCCCCTTTCCTTCTTTTCTTCCCACAGGTGGAGGTAGAGGCAAGACACTCCCCAGAAGACCATCCCAGCTGATGTCAGGGGAGCTCGAATTATAGTACATGGCCCACAGGACCCCGGCTTGTCCGGCATAAAGAAACAGACTGGGCTGACACAACTGGAATGGACTGGGCTGCCATGAACAAGAAACAAAAAAGCAAGCAAACAAACAAAGTTCCCAAAGGAATCCAAATAATCCTGGAGTAGAAGTGGATCAGTTCAAGTTTGCAGTCATGTCACACATGTCCATTGAACTAATGCCCATCACTGGGCAATGGAGCAAGCGGGATGTGTGGATGAGCCCAAAGAGAGGCCCCTTCCTTCAGGTGGCTTGATCGGAACAGCCAGGCTAGCCTTAGCCCTTCTTTGGCAACCTCAAACATCCCTGGAGTTTCAAAAAGATTAAGAACCCTGCCAGGATCATGCTGGAAAGCAGAAGTACAAGAACAACTCATTTTGCCCCCTTTCTCCTCATGTGCCCAAGATTTTCCTTCCTTTAACCCATTCTCTCCCCTTCTCAGTGGAATTGTGTTTCTTCTGTTCTCTCTCTCTCTCTCTCTCCTTTCACAGTGACCCTGGGGTTATAGACTTGCACTGCAAGCAGCAAATACTAACAGCTACCAGTTGCTATCCCTAGCACTGAGTTCAATGGAAAGATAGTGGAGAGCAAATCAGGACTGTGAAGTGCCATAAATATATAAATAACAGCTGAAAAACCACACTCTTGTTTCATAGACCATATTAAGGGCTCTGTGTGCTTTCTTTGGCCCTTCATGTCAGAGTCCACCAGTTTCTCTTGCAGGGCATTTATTTTAACTGCTCCATCTGCATATGCATGCACTTAAGCATCTTGCTCTTGAAATGGGATTTGAGTGTTCACTGGTCATCGATTGACTAGATTCTGGACAGCTCACTGGTTCAGGTATCTGGCTATAGATCCAGAGATGGGGAATCCCACTGGGCCTTCCTGGCAGGGGCTAGACTGGATGATCCATCGGGTCCCTCCCAGCTCTGCCGTTCTAAGATTCTTATATTTCTAAGAAATGTCATTGCTGCAGTCAGCCTATCGCCTCTTTCATTCTTAATTCCATCCCTTGTCGTCTTTACTGTGCTGATCCCGATCCTGGCCCCCAGGAGCCATCTCTCACCATGGTCATCCCCACTTTGTAAAATACAGCCAGAGCCCACTTAGAGAAGCGGCTTGTTGCCTTTCCTTGCTTATAACAGGCTTTGAGGTGATGGGAAGCTGCAGATGGAGAGTTTTCCATTTCATAGTCTGTGTCTTGGTCTGCCTTTCACATCATTTACCTGTGTCTTGTCACAGGTGAAATACAACACTTACACCTTCAGCACCGTTGCACATGCAGATTTGTCTAACTAAAAAATCATGAAAATACAACACTTAATCACTTTTCATGAGGATAATGGCTCTTCTTCTTCCAAAGACTTATTTTACAAAATGACCTGGACAAAAAAAGTCACATAGGGTTTAAGTTGTTACACATGCTTCTGCTCAGCCACATGAAGCCCTTGGTGCTCAAAGATGTGGCCCCACATTTCTTTGGCTGAGAAGAGAGCCCACCTGTGGTGAAAACAACCTCTCTGGTGACCAGCCGCTGCTCAATTATCGTGAACTGGGGCAGCTCCAGCTGGTTCATCCCTGTGACCGCAGAGTTATTCCCTTGCCAGAAGAACACAATGTCATCCACGGTGTAGCCATCTGGGTGAAAAAGGAGGAAAAGAGGAATATGTGTGAGTGAAGGCAGGTGGCCGCAGCTGTGGTGCCCTTTTATTATGCCCACACAAGTTAGTTGTGATGGCCCCAGCCCTTGCCCTGAGTGAGCCATGGCCCAGAACAGCACTCACCCACTTATGGCAGGAAAAGAATTAGAGGCAGGGGGATCTGAGGCAGGGAGGCATGTGGGGGATAGGACAAAAGCGGCAGTGTGTGCGCATGTGTGTGTGTGTATGCGTGTGTGTGTGTCTCCATGAGCTGCACCCAGTGAGCTGAGCCCCCCTTGCCTCATCAGCACTGCAACTTTTTCTAGGGATCTGGAAAATTGACACTGAGGAGGAGTTGGCCATAAGACCTGTGGTTTTCCTTTTGCCCTGAGTGTGTCGAGACTGGGGGATGCAGCTGCTGTGACAAGAGCTGCTGTGGTAGGAAAAGAAACAACCTTCCAGTCGGGTCCAGCTTTGTGGAGACTGGACCTGATCACGCATTATTTCTGGAAGTAGGAAAGGAGGGAACCTGGATCTCAGAAGACATGAACTTGTGAGCAGATGGAAAGTCGGCGTGGGCACGGTCCGCTTCCTACCTGCGGCTGAGCATGGCAGAGCAAGTGCTGTTGGGGGCAAAGTCCCAGGAGGAAGTCAAAGTGGCCCATCATGATGTGCCTTCCCCTAGGCTTACCCCTCCAGAAAGCCACACCGCCTGTAACCGCCCCCCCCAGCAACAACAAGCGACTCCACCTGATACGCACAGCTTTCAATTTCCAGGGTGCAGTTCTGCTGGTCAAGGGGGTACCTCCTCAGATCCATCATGCAAGCAGCAGTGGTGGTGATTCTGAGAAACAAAATCAGGGGAGGACAAATCATCATGATGGGCTGCTGTTGCTATGACAACCAGGGAACGAGGCTGCAGGGAAGGCGTATGTGTAGGGAAGATGTGAGTGCTGCTCCTCTCAGCATCAACTTCATGGTTTAAATCATTCGTGACTCACCACAGCCAGCCCTATGCCTCTATATTAAGAGGAGGAGTTCTCTTCTTGGGTTGAGGTGGGTGCGGGGGGG